ACAGTTCATTAGTCTAATGGCAATAATGAAATTACAGAGTGTTTAAAACATAATTAAAGCAGCCTGCAAAAGTGCAGGCTTACAGTGAAGGTTAGTTGAGGTTCTTGGGTAACGAAGGACAGGGCACAGCTACCTGTAGCAGCTACACATATGGACATGCATGCAATTTACCTGCAACACTCAGAGTAAATGACTGGAAGGCAGTGGAAGCCACTGGTATAGTGTTTGACAACCCTACCCACAACAGGAGGTTTGGAACTAGGTAACTGAGATTCCTTCAAACCCAAGCTATTCTATGAGTCTATGGTTCTATGACTAGAATAACAGAAATTACACTTAAGATCTAATCGTGCTTTAAGTTGCTGTTTTGATTTCAAGCTCGTAACAAACTCATTCCAAAACTTGGGACTTTCTTTCCTCAGAGATCCCTTTAGGGCTAAATAACCACATAGGCAGTGTAGCTCAGGAAAGATTCACAGTGCCTTCAAAACAATGCGCAAAGAATCTGTCTATGGCCTTCAAGTACTCTTTCAAAAATAGATGTGAATTGGCCAGCTGTTGGCAAACTTCTTCTTTGTATAGTTCTGATTCCAGAACTGATTTCTTCAGAAAGACAAGTACACAGCCTGAACAGGATTGTATACCAGCATGGGGCAGTTGATAGTTAGATATGACAAGCTGTAACAAAACCAATACCATTTTCTTCACTAACTGTTTACAAAAAATGCTTGCAGAGTTGCCCATTTTGACCTGTACAGATATGGCAAATTTTTCCATATCCTAGAGCCACGTGTCTAACCCTGGATGCTGTACATGCTCACAATGCACAATCCAAACCCTTAAAATTTCGGTTTTCTCCCCATTCTCTACCCAGGAATAATGGAGATTATGGAAACTTCTCCACATTGATGCCAGCAGCTTAAAGGGATGTAAGAAAGGAGGGAAAGAACAGAATGTAAAGAGAGTGTCTTTTTCACCCTCTGATATCAGCTTTTTGCTCAGGCTTATGAGAATCCTTGCTTCCCCAGAGATCTAAAACAAAGTAGGAGTTCAAATGGAATATCAAGTGATCTTTCCCATTCTCTTAAAGAAGTGCTCAATAGAAATGATGCAAGGTTGAACAGGCAACACCACCTATCTGAGGAAACTTGGCTCTGATATCTACAGCTTTATACCCATTAAAGGTATAACAGTGAGGAGAGAATACAGAAAAGGGCAGACTTGAAGCCGAGGCCTTAAAAGCGATAAAAGCAAAGAACAGCACATCTCACTTCATGCCTAGGATTCTTTTAAATTTTATATTATTTGAATCCTCAGATCAAGTATCTGCACTGTTATGGAGAGACCCACGTGGACAAAGTTTTCAGGTAGCTACCATACAAGCAAAACTCAGCCACACTTGAAACGTGTTTGGAAATAGCAGAAAGAAAATCCTGATCTCAATACAGTATTCATCCATGTCAGATGGCGACTTTAGGATGAATTTGGATTAATTACCAAACACATTCCAGAAATTCTACTATACTTTTTGTGGCTCAGAGATCAGGTATCCATTATAACCTCTGTTATAAAGAACAGTAATGCCAAGTTGCTCTACTTCTCTAACAGATAGTTTGGTCTTGAGGAATCTCCCCACCTCTCCTTCTTCCATGATATAGTCATATTATTCAGGTTATGCAATGACTGTATTTGCAAATCTTTCCCCACTCCTCAAGATAATAAAACACGAGATTCAGCATTAATTTATCTCTCTCCTCTGAACTTGGCACCTCTGAAATGCTGCAGTTCATGTAATGGAAGTGCACTTCAGTGAACTTGCTATAATGATAGCATAGTTAGAAAATTTAGACTCCAATTAAAATGAGAATCAGGCAGAGATAAAATACCATTCGTGGTAAAATTGTTGCGTTAAATGTAGGAGTTCTGGCCACTAAACAGAAGATACATAGTTATTATGCTCAGTTCTATCTGTGATATTCTGATCACTCTTAAACACCATTTCAAATAAAATAAGCAACCTCGCTGGTGCAGTATGAAACTGATATCTTAATTAATATATTCTCATTGCAGTTTCTCTTTAACTGAGCACTGGAAGAATCTTCGAGAATTCTGTGACTAACATCCCTTTGGTGCTGACAGCACTGTTACATTTCATTTTCTTATTCCTGTGATTCTCCTAACTTGTTCTCAGGCTTGCAAGCACCAGCACAGTTTGCTCTGATTAAAAAAGGGAAAGAGTCATCCTCTCAAAGAAACAAGTTTTAATCTCTCAAATTGTACTCTGATTAGTCTTTTAGCAAGAATTTTACTGAAAAGAATTATCTGAGGATTCTGTTTCATGTGTTCTCACATCAAGAAAATATTTAAACGATAGAAAGTTAGCTGAAGTCAATTTGAATTCAAAATGTTAAGACAATCAAGAAATGAAACTACTAGGTTGTAGGAAAAACTGCAATGCCAGCTTTATACAATTTCCCATTTGCTGAAGTTATGAATATTCAGAATAAGGGAGGAAATAATTTATGGGCTGTTTGGGCACTGTGTGGAGTGTCACTGTCCCTGAGGAGTGCTGGCTGCATTTTGCCTGAAGCCTCACAGCGCAGACAGGAGCATACAAATAGTTACGTCTTTCTGAGTCTACACACATGGGAACAGGATAACCTCAGAAAACTCCATCTCAGACAAAAAAGTTTGTGAAATGAGATGCATATCTTCACGCTGATATGCAGCTATGCTTGGGAAGTTCTGTGGCTAAGAAGCAAGGCATTCTCTGATTCCTGACAGCACTTATCTTGAGAAATGTCATTCAACACAGGTTGCCTCACGATGATTTCTTTTCTTTTCGGTGGAAAAACTGATTTACCACAGCACATGAGGTCCAACAGATCCAACAACACCCACTGCCTCTCCAGTTATCACCACTTGACAGGATCACCAGTTTTTCAGCCTGCTTCCTTTCCTACTCCCTAAAGCAGCATGAACTCAGGTCATAAGAACTCGTGCAAGTTGAAGAAACGCATCCTTACTTTATTGTTAGAAAGGCTGTCCACAGGTGCATCCTTTAAACATCTACCCTAGGTTACTGCGTTTCCTACTGCATATAGAAGTTATGGCTTACTTTTGGACAGCTATTCTCTTGTATTTTCTCTTCAGACACTCCCCAAAAGTTTTTCAATGAGAAATCACTGCTAAGAACAAGGAACAAAGCAAGTCACGGTGAGAACTACCTTTGCTTTATTACCTTTATGCCCTTATGTAGCCTCAATACAATAAAAAACCATGGTTTACTGCTCCTGCACTACTATGGGTAAGATTCTGCCCAGAGACTCTTAAAGAAAGCAAATGATACACTTGGTCAGTAAATTTCCACCTTCCCTTTCTTTATGGTAACATGTTTATGGGCACATGTGCTTAACAATGCCTTCTTACATTCCACTGCTGCTCATTAAAGTATACTATTTGGTTAAAGGATAATGAGATGGAGTAATGTGTGAGACATCTAAAAATACTGGTTGCTGCTTACAGATTATTTCTGGTTGACTGATGCAATTGTGCAGTATCACCTCTAATCCAGTGGGTAAAACTGGCATTAAGCCTGTTGTTCAAACAAACTCAGGGCCTGAGATGCTCACAGTAGTTCCAAAAGATTTTGGAAAAGCAAATTCTTTACTGAAATATTTCTGTGATTACCCCAACACACCATATGCTTTTATCCCCACTGTATCCTCTGGCTTCACTAAACCTGCCTACAAAAAGCCTTCTCAATGCTGTTACTTTCCATATCATTATCTAAACACAAATTCTATGAAATCAGTTTATTACCCTTTGAAGTTTATAATTGTAATACCTATTTAGGCACTACACAACAGATACAATCAATTTATTGTACAAAAAATAATTTAAAAGATACACATTCTACCTGTAACTTCATAGCATGCAAAGGATGTTCCTCAAACCATCTGTAAGTCATGAGGCATCATTATTTGCTTACCGCCTTCTTTGTGGGCTACCTTAAACCCCTAACTAAAACCAAATTAAATTAAAACTACATCAGGGCCAATTATCCTCCTTGACATTCTAAATTTTCTACTCTTTTCTTTTCCCTTCCCTTAAGGCCAGACACAGCAGCCATCTCCATGGCTGGGAAGGACTCAAGACAGCTCTTGCAGAGCTCTACAGCACCATTCTAGGTGCTGGCCAAAGGTATGAGCAGCCACAAGCTGAAGGGAGCACAGAACTGCTGTACTCAACATTCTATACCCATACGATCACGCATCACACATGGCCAGGTTTTGCACTGACCCAAAAATAAAGCTCCTTGAAAGGAGTATGTGGCAAGTTGCAAGTAAACATTGCTTTCCTACAACAAATGGTTGAAACTTTTTGCCCATTTAAGAGTAAACAACTTTGAGTAATGTCAAGGTATCACACTCCATGCACTTAATCATAAAAGCATACTTCAGTTAACTCCTGGGTACAAGTATATAATCTGCAAGCCCCAAAGTAGCACTAGAAAAGCACAGTGACTCAGAAATATTGTTCCTAAGCACAATGCTGTCTTAAATGTTGTGGGAGTTTTTGTCCTTTTAATTAGTGTGCTGTGCTTAAATGACAAGACAGCAGTTCGACGAAAAGGAGAATCGTTAAGTCACTTCATTTTGGCTGCTTATCGTACACCTCATATTTTTGTGCCTCCAAAGCACTGTGACCAACTAGGCAAATAACTGCATGAAGTACACATTGAAGGTACAGGACAGAGACCTCAAGCTCTCTTACACCACTAGCACAGTTGGTAACTAGCTCTCTACTTTATGTCTGAACTAGAGATTGCACATAGACTGAACACAGGTAGTGATGGCTACAAAATGGAAGTGACTAGAATTGCCTTGTAGTATAAGGCATATACTATATATATACTATATATATAGCAGAAATAAAGAACTGGATTTGCTTAAATTGTGCAAAGTCATACTTGGTACACATCTGAATGCATCACACACCTGAAATTCTGTAGTATTTAACTTGGAAGAGTGTGCAGAAGTTGAAAGAGCTCTTATCTCCCCTCAGTTATACTGGGTCACTCAGTGCAGCTAGTGGATGAAGTTCTTCCCTCATATCTGAAAAAGGAGCAGTGATACAGCTGAAGGAAGCACCATGAAACATTTGGTTTTCTTTTTAAAAGAAGTGCCGTTGCAAGGTTTGAAAGAGAATAGCTTTCAAAAAGTTCAAAATACCCTTTCACTCCAGATCCTTCATGGCATTCTCTTCAGAGTACACAGCAATTCTTCACATCACATTTTGGTATCAAGCATCCCATCCAACACCACCAGTTTTTCCAGCCCCCTGCAGAAGATGTGTTCAGTTACATCCTAGTCAATGTGAGAGAATTAGGAACTTCAATCCAGATCCATGGGAGGTTTTAAGGTGCACATCACAGCCTTCATTTGTCATTCTAAGGGGTTCAGATGTTTTTATGAGCTTTCTGCTACTATTTGTCCATTAGCTGGTTTAGATTTGGAAAGGAGGCGGCTATGAGGTAAAACCAGATAAAATCCAATTTAACTTTCAGGAAAATAAAACTGTAATTATTTAACTTTTCGTACTGAGCACCTTCCAGAAGTGACAGAAGGAGATAAAACTTTCAGCAACTCTGCCTCGGGTTTTCCTACACCATCAGAGATTTAACTTTTCAATAATTGTCTCTTCAAATATAGAAAGTGAGTGACAGATTTTAAAACAGACAGGCACACACACCAAGTAATCAACATTTAATTTGGTAGACTGACCACAACAAGAATTCATTTTGTCAGGGTTTTTTTTTCTTCCCTCAAAGAACTGAAGCCAGCCATACAATAGCAATATTCCAGATGGCTGTACAAAGTCCTCTGTCTCTTTCAACAAAATGTTGATCATGATCCAAGAAGCAGGAAAGTGCTTCTGATGGACACACGCATCTTTCTGCAATGTGACAAATCATACAAAATAAAAGAAAAGCCACCTCATTTACAAAGCAGATGTCTGAGCTGGGGATGAAATTTGGAAGATTAGAAGGGGAAAACAGGTATGCAACAAGGCCAGTAATTATTTTTTTTTTTTTTTTGCCTTCCCTTGTTAAACCTATTAATTAGAGAACATTTTCCTACATTTACAACTCCTAACTTAGATGAATATAACTGAGACTTCATATGCCTCTTTAAACCAAAATTTCCTGTCATCTGTTTGTTTGGGTTTGTTTTTTGTTTTTGTTTTTTTGTTTGTTTGTTTGTTTTTGTTTTTTGTTTTTTACACTTCACTAAGAATCACACTGGTGTTTGCTGTGTTTGCTCACTAAAAATGAAGCTAGCAACTAGCAAGAGACTTACAAAAGCTAATTTTTTTTTCCACCATGTAAAATTATTAATTGTTACCTCCATGCCTGCATTTTCTGTGCTACCAAAGGAATCCCTAAATGATTGTGAATCTCAGCACATATCCTGCAAATCTTAATTCTTCCTCACACTTGGCCCATGGTAGATTTTTCAAAAGAGGCAGCCTTAATTTCAAAATTGAGTTTTTAAACAGTAATCTTGTATCAAAAAGCAAGACTTTAAATGCACCAAATTTCTGGTGTCACTTGGATACATTCCTGAAAGGGCACAGGCTCCATGCTTAAGAAAAAAAAACAAACTATTCCCACAGTTCCCTTGCCTTATTCATTGAGATCCATAACTTACACAAAGACTTCATAACATCCTTATCAAATAGCGTTTTTTTCCACAGATAGCAAAACAAGAATTAAAAAAAAAAAAAAAAAAAAAAAAAAAGAGCTAAGAAAGAAATTATCATCTTCATTTACCTGGTTGCTGTGTAGTTAAATTACTCAGATGCACAAGAAAACCTAGATTCAATCCCTTTCTTGCCCAAAGGAGATTCAAGTTTATAACTCGCTTCTTGACAGGTCAAACTTTTGGTGCCATGCAACCATCAAATGAAGCTAATTCTGCTTTAAGAATAGCTGCTAAAGCCAAGCAATTTCACCAGGAATAATTAAATGTTCAGTAGGTTAAAATAAGAAAGCAAACACAAGCAGAATTTTCTAGCATAACTTTTATGATACTTTTATATAAGCAGTGACACCATGTTAAGTCCTCGTATAAAATATTAAGCACTTTCTTGAAAGCAGACTTCCCTCACAACCTCTAAGATTTTATATGTGATATCTGACACCAAATTCACAGCAGCTTCTCTCCAGCTTATGTCAGCATAACTCCCCCAATTTCAGCTGAACCAAGCTCACAGCAAGTTTTACAGAAAGATTCTCTCTTGACAGCTCCATCAGTGTAATAGCAGGTATTTTCTACTCTTGCACAGTGGTAGTTTTCTACTTTTTGGATGGTAGCATCGTGGTTCCACTGCCTGTTTACAGAATACCCACCAAATTCCACCAATGTTATACTCCATAACAAATATTTGCCTTTGATCATTTGAGCAATAAACGCTGTTACTGGCTTGCCATTCCTCTCTGCTTAAATTCCTCCCGTATTTCTAGTACATCAGACTGTAATGAATGGCTCACAAAAAGAGAATCAGCAATAAAAGCATTGGTGCCTCATTCAAGCACAAGTTCTGTGCTACTTTACCTCTGTGTAGGATAACTTTCACAAGTGAAAACATTCATTTCCTTTGCTACATGTGAATATGACAAGCCTTAGTTCTTAAACATAGCTTTTCATCGTATTTTATTTATTTTTCAATATGACAACATTGCAGAACAGCATTACTTACACAGCAATATCAAACTCACGCATTATGCTTGGTCATATTCTGCCAATTTCCAGAGATTTTCAGGAAAATTTTTTCAGAAACTTCAGGGACTTAACAATAAAATGCTGCTTTAGTTTAATGTCAAGCAGGCACATTGATAGTTATCTTTCAAAACAGTATTTCAAATCAATTTAAACAATTTATTTTGTTTCTTGAAACCCATTCCCTCCTTGTCACCTCCTGCAGAAATTCCTATCTTGCTCAGTCCAGATGCTTTCCACAAGTGCTCTTCCATTCTTTTCCCTGCTTCTGCACGTTCTATTTATGATAGCAGCAGAGAAAAAGGAGCCAGATGATCATAGCAGTACCTACCATCAAGTCGGTCTAAGGAGAGATCTCAGAACTCCACAACTCCTAAAGGAACTACGTAATGCAGCAATTAATTTAGTTGCTAATTCACCACTGGAAAATGATAAGCTATAACATGATACTATTTTAGATAAAGTACGGAATTCAGATTCTTGTAACTCCCTCTAAATAAAATCCAGCTCCTCATTAAACAGAAAGAAAATGTTGAGAAAGAGACGCTGACCTAAGTTGTTGGGTGAAGGAGGATTAGTCAGTATCAAACTTTCAGGTTCATAAGCCACACACGGAATCATAAGTAATAAGTTTCAAAAGTGAACTTCGGCATATCTGAATGTGGTAAAATGCCAATTAAGATTCCTCAAGACTCTTATGAGATTCAGCAGACAACAGATTTAGAATATCGGTAGTTATTTCAAGTATGAAACAGAAACACAAAATACTATTAACACTTTCTGCAGCTACTTATGTTTCTACAGATTGCATGTGCACAAAGCCAAAAAAAAAAGATAAAAAGATGTATATGTGAAGGTATAATGTACATGACTGTGATTCAGTGAGCACAATGCTGATAAAGAGTGAGGCCCTAAGCGATTTGCGTCACGAATTAATGGCTTCATTGAACTTTCATAAAGACTTCCTGAAGAACACAGTAACCATATCAATATCTCATTTACAACTCCTCACAAGCAGATAGGTTTGTAGTTTGGTAACAAAGCATGGATGTGCTACGGCTTGAACTCTGCAGTTAGAAAGGTCGCACTGGTTGTTCAACACCTCAGCCGAGAGTTCAGCTGCGTTAGCGCCGTACTGTACACTGCAACCTGTTAACCCACAAAAAAGGTAAAACACCCTGGAAAAGTTCAGTTAAGCACCATAATTATGCTCCATGGGCCTGATAATGAAGCAATCCTTATTGCTAAAGAACTACCCCAAGAGTCTTCCAGCAGCGGCAGGCTACAAGCCGTCACTGTCAGAATGACTTCTCTCTTGGGTGTCTGGTCGTTGGTGGTTCAGCACAGATTCCCCTTCCTTGACAAATGACAATTGCTCATACCGTGATTTTCTTTCTACTCATTTTCTTTTATAGGTGGCTCTATTCCCAATGCTCTAATGTAATTCAGCTTCATAGCATGTCTGGTTATATTTCTTCTACAGATCGCAATTACATTTCTAAACCAGTCTTTGTGTTGCTATGAGAATCAGACAATAGGAAAAAATTTTAAAGTTTCAATGAGGAAAATTTCCATAATATGTGGTGGCTGTCACAATCTTCCTGATAGAAATAATTACTCCTCCAATGTAACTACACTAAACCACCAAGAAATATGGATAAAGACTCATCCATCTGTGCAGAGCTCTCTCATAAATGCATATGAAAAGGGAGCTAAATGCAGAGATTAGTATACACTGAGATGGGCAATGGAACACATGTTAAGGCAGCAGGCTCCCATGACCATGGTCCTGAGATGGGGAAGGTATTAACTTATTCTTTTTATCAGTATTGAGAAAAAGCTACATACGATACACTGTGATTTTGAGTAAGGCTATGCTTTGCCTTCCCATGATCCACCAGGTTATAGATGCTAATTCTCCCACATTTCTGACTGAAACTCAGAGTATCCAAAAACAAAAGCACAAGCTGCCACAGCATGAGCTAACAACGCTTTTTCTGGGGCAAGAGAAAACTACTCATCTGCAAATAACAGACATCGCTTACTTATAAAAAAACATTGCTTTCATGGCTGCATCAGAGAACAAAAGAATAATTGAAAAGCCTTCTTCCGTGATTTTGTTGTGCTGTTCCTACCTAAACTCTAGGACGGTACTATTTATTACTAGATGCACCGCTCGGATCAGCAGCACTTTAGCATACTGGCTACCAACCCAAACATTGCAGCTTGGATGGAGGTACTCTGGCACTGCTTAATTTTCTTCTTCACGTACCTGCACAGCACATAGGAACAGCAGAACTCAAAACCTACCAGTAAACCTGGTTAAATGAGCAGCAAGGCAGCAGCTCTTAGGGAACTTCATCAGCTTATCTATATCCAGATAAGCAATTAAGTTACCTCTGGCGGCAATTGCTGCAAAGTAAATGTGTCTCTGGGCAGTAAAGAAGTGCTTTTGTGTATTCATAGATTGCAGTGAGAAAGCATTGCAAAATATATTAGCAGAAAGACAGAACCTCCATGTAGATCTGTTCTGTTGCCCTCTAAGACCTAATCAAAGAACAACTGTTAAGCTATTCTTTAACTACAGTGGTGCCAAGACAGAGGCTTTATTCAAGACTTGTTCAAAACTTGGATACTGACTACTCCAGAAATCTGCAGGGAAAGGTTATGGTAAACTCTGTGCTATCTTACCTGTGCAAAGCAATCTTCCTCTCTTCCAGTGAAAAATCACAACCTATTAATGCAGCCCAACATTGTTTGGAGTACCAACAATTTCCAGAAGCCATAGAGATCTCATTCCATGCCTGACCATCCCCAGTGACCATCACATCCTCCATAGCCACAATGGCAAGGAGGCAGTCCTCCAAATACGTTTCAGCAGAAAAGTAAGCTGAACAACAAACTTGACAGCCTAAGGGTGGAATTGCACCTGCAGCGCAAAGCAACTTGAGCCCAACAGCGCTATAAACTCTTCATCCAGGAAAAGTGCTGCTGAGACACTGCCCTGCAGCAAACTCAATAGCAGGCTCAGCTAATAGCTGCAGGGCTCTTGTCTCCAGAGACCCCATCTAACTGATGGGAGATCTGCTGATTCAGAATGGAGTCACTTCAGTTTTCTATACTGCTAATATGGCCATCAAAACAGTCAGTACATAATAAACTCCTTCTGACTAAGCATCTAACGAGTAATGAGAATTAACTATGGAAGACTGGGATGTCTAGAGTCATGAGCCCTGTAACCCGTGTTCATACACACCAATCCTTTTTTTCCTTTAAAGCACTCAAGGAAATGCAGTTCAAAAGAACATTGGCTATGAATGACTATTTTAAAGAGCTACCAAGAGCTAGCCTTTCTTAGCAGAGAAGACCCAAAGCACCTATAGATGAATAAATGCTGTATGCAAATGCTTCAAGCTGCTTCTGCATGAGCTACAGCACCCCAAAACATCCACTGTGACTTGAATCATTATGCCATCCTCCTTGAAGGTGAATATTCAGGACAGAGAAAGCCAACAGTTGTTCTTAAAATACTAGAAATGATTGTTATTTGGAAGTCATCTTCAGTGTAGTGCTTTTTCCATTCAGTAAATATCTTGTGCCTCTGTTATCTTACTTGAAATATGAAGTATCACAATATTTAGAAATACTTCCATGTTAAAAACAAACACGAACCATTTTTCATGGCTTTTGAACTCATTCCTTGCCTTTAGAATTATAAATTAAACCATCGAATCCATAAAGTGACTGTAAGCAATAATAACACTACTACTTGAAACACACTTCAACTGGAACTCCTACTAATTACCAGTTTGTTTATGTCAGATAAAATTAATGACCATTGATCTTCTGAACTACACCAAAATCAAATTCTGTTTGATAGTCTTGGGGAGCCAAAGCCTTCCCTGGCATTAGTCCATCTAACCACAGACCAGAAAGGTAGTAGTGACTTATCTTACCCTTTGTAACCCTACCTGACAGATTCAAACTTATCTCCAGCCTTCTTCAGAGAAGTGGGAATTTTCCACTGTTTCTGTCTTACTCAGCCCTACTGCTCACATTTAAAAATTCAAAAGCAGTCATGAGTTTGCAATAAATGAGAAAGTACAAAAGGAAGCGTCTACTCAGCTCTGAGATGGAACAAAAGAAGAAAATTGCCTATAGCTGGCTTCACCCTGCCTTTTCACAGCAATGAGATTCATTACACGTATGCTTCTCTGAATTATTTTAATCCCATCACTGTCAACACAAGTTCTTCACAACACAACGCAAGCAGTCAGGAGATATTGATGGCTTTATTGGAACTGCTGACCACTTTGTTACATCTAGATGCGCTCCCCCTGTATGGAGAAATTAAGAGATGCTGTGGTGTTGTTTCTGATCATAATGTAGCAGGAAGTCACACAGATCTAAACCTCAGAGTTGCTCAGGTTGCATTTCAATCCTGTAACTTAGGGGATGCTGCCATCAAGAGTTTTGAAGACATAAATGGCACGCTGACAGCCGTTGTCAGTGAGGACAATGAAAATTGGCAGCTCTAGCCAAGTATGAAGCATGACAAATTGCAGGAAAGCAAAAGGAAGACAGTGTTTCACTCAATTCAGAAGTGAGATGACATTTGCTAGGAAACTGATGGGAATTCTTCAGGCAGTCTACAAGATGTGCTAAATGTTACTTGCATTATAACAAATCATAAGGTATCAACTGCAAAAATCAGTTGCCTTTGATGAAGACTTCTCTAGAAGAAAAAAATGCAGAGGCAATTAGACAACTGAAACTAGAAATATGGTGTACTTTAAGTATCTTTGAAGCATGAAGGACCTAACAAAAACATTTAATAAAAGAAAATATCAAATCGCTGCAGCTCATCAGGCTGACAGCATCTTGAGCTTATGGAACACTTAGCAGGTTTCCCTCTTCTCTTTACACCTACACTAGCAATATGCTTCCAAAAGCACATTCTTCTCTAAGATAAAGCCATCTTCAGTATGTTTATCTGTTGTTTCTTACCACTGAAGTGAAAGAGTCACTTCTCCTTCACTAAAAAGAGATGTAAACTCATAGCATCAATGCCTACAAAATAGAAAAGTTGTTTAAACTGCAGCCTATATTTGCTTATAGCAATAGGATTTTTATTTTTACACATTTGGAGGGGAGCTGTTTGCTAAACAGACTTTGTTTTGTCTGCTGATCACATTTTTCAGCTATCATAATGCTTTGATCAGTTTAGGATTGGAGTATGATGATTTCCCATCGCACTGCAAAAAAAAAAAAGTGTATATCTATCTATATACAGACATACACCATCATCTTTTTAAGCACTACTGGTCATCCCAAAAGAATTTTTAGCAAACTGATTTTAAAGAAGCTTTTTAAAAAGCATCCAAACAAAATACAATAGTTTCCTTCTAAAAGGAAAACCTCTGGGAAAAAAAAAGCAGCCATATTTTTAAGCATAAAGAATTCACACAACAAATTGCTTATACACCTTACCAGAAAAAAAAAAAAAGAGAGCATCTCTGAATTTCAAAATTACCTTCAAGAAGTAGAAAACAAACTTGAGCTAGATCTAAATGGCATCAGTAGCAACGCTACATTCTTTTGGTAAATCATGAAAAACAGCATTTATCATTATTTTTCTTAATAGTTTGACATTTGCATCACTATCAACCTACAGAGCAGCGATCCACAGAAGCAGCACTAAGGGCCCACAGCCCCTTTCCTCCCCATTGAGAGCTGTTCAGTTAAACCTTAGCAGAGTCTCAGTCTACCACATCAGTTCACCCTCTTTGACCCCTCCATGGCAAGAAGAGATAACTGCAGCAGATTAGCAAACGGCACGTTTAATTACATACCTGCTTCACTAAGCTAAGCAAGTGGCCCTCAACACCTCAGCTAAAAGCACAACACTTTGTTGCAATCTGGAGCAATGCACAAAAACTTCTTCCTCATTAGATTCTTGTATCATTAATTCCAGCAGATAATGGTTCCACAATTTATTAAGAAATCCTTCTTATTTCATAATAATAATTAAAACAAAACAAAACATTAAGTTGACTCTGGAGGAGCTTTTCACATTACCAGTTTAAAAGTAAGCCTAATCCAGGAATGCAGACTCTGCACAGCACACACAACAAATTGCATTACACATTTTAGAACCGATGTATGGATTTCACAATAAAACTTTAAGCATGAGTATAAACAGCATCCTGATGCTCCACATATATTAGGCATTTTAAAAGATGCACGTTACCACCAAATAAAACTTATCACAAACTGTGCAGAAAACACGTAATTCATAAAGAGCTGAACTGAATAGCTGAATTATCCTTGCATACCAATACTGCTGGTTCCCCAAGAGACTTAAGCAGTTGGAAGCTCTGTAGTACATGAGGGGAAAACCAACAACAAAGCGCATTCTTCAGTATTTTTGATAAAAGACAGTTAGGAAGATATGAAATCCCAAACATTGCCTTCTGTGTAAAAAAGAAATTCTTTAATCTCCATAAAAATATTACAAAATAACAATAATAATAATAATAACAACACTCTACATCCATTTTCTTGCGCCTCTTAAATAAAAGACCACAAAGAAAACCTCTTGTGAAGAAGTAGGAAAACAGTTCTTACTCACTATGTATCCAAACTCAGCTACAGCTCTGAAGTGACCCAGCATCTCTTTGCACTGCAAGAAAGCAGTGGGGTTTCACTTCACCATTTTTATCACCACAATCAGCATCAGCTGTTGAGCTCAGCTCTGTAAGCTGTAATGTGGGGAAAATCTATGTCAGGTGCTCCCATTCTGGAATTAAATGTTGCAAGTCCCAGCTTCTAAGGCAGGTGGTGTAAATCTTTGCCTCCTCCCCACTGAAATTAATCCTTCTTTGGTAGAGGAGAAAAATCACTTCTGTGTCTCATTAACGCTTCCTACTCTCAAGGATAAGATTTGCCATCTTTAATTGATCATTTCCCTGATTTTTCTCTCTGCTTTATACCCATGAATTCAGAGCAAAACCAATGAGAAATGAAGTAACTGCTCTGACAAATGCTGCAGTTGAAGAAGAAAGAGGAAAAAAATGTAAATAGATGGCAAGAACAGATACAAAGTCCTATGGCTCAAAAGCTTAACAGTGTGATTTCAGAGAGCTCAACTTAATCCAAATGCATATCAACATGTTCTTGAAATAAACTCTATTCCTTAAAATAAAAACATTTTTTAAAGTCTTTTTTCTTCCTCACCTCTGCTAATTTTGTCACAGTGTGAAAATCCTGGTATTATCAGACATCCTACTCTCCCCTTTGATCGTAACAAGACAAAGAAGTTCTCCTCTTCAGTGAGAAAAATGAGGGAATGAGGAATAGCAAGAAAAAGAGAAAGCTGATGAAACCAAAAAACTAATTAAAAAGTAACACTGCTTGCCATGTAGAATCATTTCTCTCCTTTCATAATGGTTCCTGGAGCTCCGCTGAACTTTGCAGGGTCGCACAGAACAGCAAACCATGCATATGTATGGCAGTTCAAAAATAGCACTGCAGTGAAGGTAATTGAATGGAATTAGGGTGTTTTTCAACTTCAGTAACTGAAGTAGGTATAAAGGGAGCCCTCAGACTCCGTATGCTTCCTGCACGGTGGCCTTTGGTTTGCTTCATGTCTTAGAAATTCTACAGGGAAGACAGCCAAAGAGAAAACGACAGTTGCTCAGCTTTTACATTACAGTTCAGATGGATTTAAGTCTTGTCCTTTATTTTTGTGGCAGGAAAATAAAAGGGATGACATGCAGGAGGATTCTCTATACTGTCATGAGCGTACTTGTGAGCTTGTTTTTATAGTGCTGGACTCAAAGGATGCAATGTTCCTTCCCAAGAACACAGCAGACTGAATCGTGTAATGGCAGGCACTGCTGTTTTAAATTGTTTTAAGGTCACTGAATGGAAACATACTGGCAGCAAAACTTGCTCTAGGTTTCATCTTAGCAATATCATGTCATGGTGTCAGAGTATACGAATGGGGAGGGAACCACCAGCAACAAAGGGCATCTAATGACTGTTCTGATGAAATGAACCTCAACAAGTAAAACCATTGAAGTTTAAGTACCCCAGTACCAACTTGTTTGCAATTGGCAAATTCTTGGAACACGGTAGCTCTGAAAATCAGATGGCTAATAGAACGTTTTCTGCCCTTTTGCATATTTTGAAATACATATTAAATGTATTTATTAATTCTGCAGTTGGCAAGTCAAAGCTGCTATTCCCACCAAAGAAGCTCACATGTTAACGGAGCAAAATCCACCATATACTTGCTTACATTTCTGAATGTCAGCACTCCTCACACAGAATACTGCTGATTAACTCTTAATTGCATGCTATTAAAAATGCCACCACTGGATTAAAATTTCCGGAAAATAAGAGGCTGGTGAGCAGACGTGTCAGCACAGCTCCAACTGCAGTGGTTTGGTGATGATGCAAAAAATCAACAGCATTACACAGAGAGGTTTCACTGTGTCTAAATAGAGAAATTTGAAACAGAACAACAATCTGCCATTTTATGGACCAGTTCAAAGTCTAAAAGTGGCTCTACTTATAAATACCTTTTTTTCTTTTTTTAAAAAAAGAAAGTTAAAAAGTCCTCAAGATGTTTTGCTTTTAACATTTCAAATCTTTATGTACCGCTTTAATAAACAGGTAGACGAAAAGCTTTAATCTCTCTCTTTTATTCATAACAAGCATAAATGCACTTCCTGTTGATAGCCTGATTTTAGATGAAGGGGAAACCATCAAAACAAGATCCAAAAGTAAACTCCAAAGGAAAGAACAGTGTATCCGAGTGCCTTTGCTTGGAACACCTGCAATACAAACTCATGATAACAAATGGACATCTGTAGATGGAGTTAGTGTGAACAGCACACACTACTCCCACATGTTGTGTATTTGAATTCATTAGGGTGCCTCAGTACCATCAGCATGATTATGAACAAAAATCCCAATGAGAATAAAGGAACCAGCTACAAAGCAGTGAATTTTAAGCAAACTTCTAAAGTCGTGCTCAGTGCGTAACTCTTTGGCATTCCCTGCATTGTTTCTACATTCAATTAGATTTCACCATGGAAGTACTTCCTCAAGACTTTGCTCTAACCAGCATGCAATGGCTTCTTTTGCAGCAAAAATCCAAAACTCTCAAAACATTTGATAGTCCAGGCCCAGGAAGTAGTAGGAACGTGACCATCACCAGAAATCTGGCCTTTGGATTTGTAGTCCCTCAACATGTTTAACTTTCTGAACTTGCCTAACTTCATAAACTAATCTAATTCTCCAAATTTCTTCCTACCAATGAAAATTTGATTCCATGCATGCTAGCCAATAGGGCCTACAGCAAAAATTAAGAAATTAGAAGTAGACTGGAGAGAAAAAAGGCTTACAAAAGTATTTGCACTAATATCTTTCAATATCAAGTTTCCAGGGATCTTTTAGAAGTCTTTATTTCAGCAAAATCACATAAGAAATTAAAAGAACATTGAAGCTGTCTCAGCTCTTCAAATTAGTTAAGGAATGGAGTCAACCTTTACACTTAGAAGAGACCTCTGTCAAGTATGTGCCTCGATATTTTCTACTACTGAAATTATTAAGTAATTCATCTGGTTATGTCCAGTTATGTCATCCACACCTTCACTGCACACAGAAACCACAGTAATTCTAGGTTTGTTAAGGTATGGGTCTGCTTAAGATCACAGGGTGTCTTACTGGTAATTAGATAAACATTTAATTTTTTGAAATGAGCAACATTTGATATAGGCATTGCATTCATATTTTATTATGCAATTTGTTGTAGAACCCATTATACTACCTTACATCTGTGTGAAAGATTGTAATTTCAAAGGATCTCCCAAAGATATGCACTGTATTTATATGCACATCTATAGAAGTAGACATATATTCATATATATAGGTATATAGTGTAGAGGCACACATGAACACTTTGTCTTTGATCATCCCAGGAATCCACAGGACTGCAGATGGGAATTCTCCAAGAGAAAATAAAATAATAAAATGAGCAAGAATAACAAAAATATTTTTGCACATCTGCAAGCCAGAGCTTATATTATTCCTCAACACATTTAAATATACAGCTCTCAGGTGTTTTTATCCTTTTCTCAAAGTTAGTTTTTCAGCTGAGCCCTGAGATTGTGCTTACCAAAGTTCTTGACCAACCAAGAAAGAGTAATTCCATTTTATTCCCTATCCAACAGAGTTTATATTCAATTTTCTTTTCTTATTTCAATACGACATAATTGCTTGTGCATGCATGTGAACAGTTGCTATTTAAATGCTTGTGGAGAGCTCAATTTCTGGCTCATTTAATTGCCTGAGGCCATTGGCTAAGAAGATCTAAGGAGTTGTGTATGAGTACATAATTTATTTTATCTGCCCAGAATGAACCCTCCGGTCTCCTTTGTGATAGTGGTGTTGTTTGTCATTGCTCCATAATTCACCAGCATCATTAATTGCATACATGCACAATACCCTCTGCGAGGCGTGCACTCGCATACCCTTGTCTCTCCTTTCATTAGCTGCATAATGCCAGACCTCCTGGCATTAGGGATTAGGAAACATGTCTTACTGATGGATTGCTGGGTCCCACCTGTATACGCTCATCCATAGTTCATAATTCTGCCAAATGCGACTTCTGTTGTGCTGTAACTCACAAACCATTTACCACAGCCCTTAATGACAATTTCTATATTCCCACACCAACGTTACATCAGCTCATTTGTACAATTCCTTCCTCACAGCAGTGATGCTGGACATGCACTGACAGTGCTCATCGATTCCAGGGATCGTACTTAAAACACTCTTCCCACTGAGAGCAAGAAGTTGTATGGGGAGGATTCACAGGTGTTGGGATAGATTTTATTTCACATTTTTCCCAGGGAAAGTCAAATTTCTACCTGGGTAATCTGCTTTGTTCTCCTTCACACCACCCCAGTTCTTGCAATTATTGCCACAAGAATAATTACTCCAAGTTGAAGTTCCAGTGTATTCAGTGAAATATACCACCCTACTCTGAATGCATTAATCATTTCACATTGTGGCTTAAAGCTTCCCCACAGAAAAGGAGACTGCAATCAAGAAAGAATGCTAGAGCAGAGCCAGAAATGAAACAAGGAATATCAGAAAATGTCAGAGAAGCCCTGCGCAAAGCATAAAGAACTGCTTCGTCTTTCCTACCTGGCTCTCACCCATATTCCTCCTATCACCAAACCGGAGAAAGAAATTCACAGTTCTGGTTAAGAAACCTGGATGCTGCCAGCAAGCATTTGTTTTCCCTACAGTAAATTTCATCACGACTCTGCAAAGGTGATAAGCCCACCTGGTATTCCCTGATGGATTCAATAAGAAAAAAGGCACAGAACAGCCACAACACCACAGCTGTCCATCATTAGTCCCATTAAAGTTGGTATCAAACCCCATCAGCTGTGAGGGCTTTGCAGGTTCCCAGATCATAAGGCAGCACAGCTACAAGAAGAGGGAAACAAGGGGTTGTCTTTTTGCCATTCCTTAAAATTTAATTTTATCTAGGGATTTTCTGTTTTGATTATGTATGTTCAACGTGGAAAATTCCATTATCTTCACAACATGTACTAAATGTAACTGCATCTGCAAAAGATTAAAAGGAGACATCAGC